GTATCCCATCCCCGCGCCCCCCGCGCCCCCCGCGCCCTCCGGAGAGAACAGGACTATGCCCGGGGCTGGGGACCGAGGCAAAGCCCCGGCGAGATGGCTGGGCACTGGGCTTTTGGGTAAGGCAGCCCCAGCTTGGTCTCTTCTCTTGCCTCCCCCTACCCCCAGAGAAGGGGACACTCGAGAAGGAAGATGCCTTGGATAGGGTGGGCTTTGGAGTGCGGCACGGAATGCGGACCGTGGCCGCCGGCTTCCTGCCTGGTTCATAGGCTGTGCTCCCTGGGGACCGTGCGTGTCCCTCTCTGCCCCAGCAGCCCGCCAGTCTCAGGATGAGTTTTTTTGCTGTCTCTGGCACCTTTGGCTCCAGGTTTTTGGAGCTGGATCTTGGGGCTGCAGCGCGGGTCTCCCGAGTTCAGAGGTTCAGGATGCTGGAGGAGGGGGTCCGTGCCTTGGGTGCAGGGGGTACCAGGTGGGTTGCTCGTGTGACTGTTGGGATGATGGTTTGCATCCCTGCCCAGAGCCGTTTGCTTGTTTCCCAGGCACCAGGCATGCACCAATTGGGGGTGGGGGAGTCCCCTTCTTCCTGGGCCCTTTTCCTGCTTTGCTCCTCTGCCCTCTACCTCCCTCAGGAGCCACTGCCTTCTCCACAGCAGCACCCCAAAGCTGGAAGGGGCTGGAGGGGCTTGCGGGATCATTCAAGACCCTTTAGGAAGGGCCTTGTCTGTCTTCCTACAAGGAGATTCCGTAGGGAAGACCTGTTTGACCTGCTCCCGGCTCTTCATTTTTGGAGTGAATATGGAGACAGAGGAGACTTGTCCAGAGGACACGGAGGAAGAAGCATTATTAATATCTATTAATATGCACATGAGAGTTTTGAGTGTCAAACTCCAAGAGATTAGGGAATGATATTTATTAGTCCAGAATGTAATCTCCTCATAAATCATAGCCAGACTTTAATGTAAGCCGACTCCATCTCTGGCAACGGCATCTCTTCCTGTTTATATTGGTCAGATTTGGCTTTCGGCAGCTCCCTGCATTGGGAAAGACACACGATGTAGGTATTTGTGCTGAAAACAGGGAGATAGAAGCCTATAAGGGAAGTGGCTACTATTTCTGCGAATGTAAACTGTGTGCAGATCTATCAGGTTGGTGCCTGGTGGTGAAGAGGGGAGAGAGTATTTCTTGTACTTGGGATGTTTATTTACCTCCGTACGGCGAGGTGGAAGACACTCGTGTTTTCTCCTGTACCTTTGGCACAGATGTCATGCTGGTTTCACAGTGACCTTAATGAAGTGGGCGTCAGTGAGGCCTGAGGCTCCTTTTCACAGGGTGGGCACAACGTCATTCCATGCTTCTTCCCCCCATCGAATCTCAGATCAGCCCAGGTCCCCATGGTGGCAATGGCAGGGGTAAAGGGTCACTGAGGAATTCAAACTCAGACAGTCATTAAACGACCCCACTTAACACCTCTGGCTTATGTTCCTGGGTGGGGGATGCCAGTCCCTGGTTTGTTAGAATACTCATAGAACCAGGCCTCTGTGGACAACCGAGAGGGCTCTGAAAATGATGTATCTGTGTGTGTGCACGCACGCGCATGTGTGTAAGGGGGATTGTGGGCATAGTCTCGGTACATTTCTCCAGGTGGAAGCCCCACCTTCTCCAAGGACTGTTCAGGTGTATAGACCAGGTAGGGGCTAAGGCCTGTTGATGAAGGTTTAGATGAATTTCTGAGCTACGCTTTGGGAGCCCAGGAGACAGCAGAGTGACTTGTAGGTGGGAGACCTGCTGGCCCCAGGACTGGCCTCATCTGCTCTGTCCCCTGCCCCTCTGGTCTGCAGAGGGACTCCAACCAAGGTCCCTTTGGCCCTTGACCAGGCAACACTGACTGAGCCCTCACAGGGGCATTGGTCTGAGCTTGGGACATAGATGACATCCTTGCTGTCAGTCCAGTAGGGGAGACACAGAGATGACTGGACAGCCAACTGGAAGTGTTCCCTGGGAGCATCAGAGCTGGCAGGGACTTTGGGAAGCAGAGCACAGAATTCTCCTAGGGATGAGGAAGTCATGGTCCAGAGAGGGATGGTGACTTGTCTAGGGGCGCATGGCCAATTGATGGCCAAGTGGGACAGAATCTGAGTTTCTTGGGCTCTGTCACACCACGCTGCTTCCCAGTTAACTCAAGTCTGGTGAGGGGGAAGGTAAATAGGGATTGTGCTTAGGGCTGAATAATAAGTGAGGCTCTGGGGCATGGGCGTGGAAGGATAGAGACTTGGGGGGCCTAGAGCTGCTATTTTCATAGCTTTGGAGACTGGGTACAGAGCAGTGAACTTCCAGGAGTCCTCTTCCCCTCTCCCCATATCAAACCCAGTCTCACAGACTGAGACCAAAGTGATTTCTGATAACCTAACAAAATGCCCTTTTCTTAAACTGAGAAGCAGTTTCCAAGGCTGCATTATTGCAATTGAGGTTTATGTGCTTTCCTATCTCTTCCTAAGCATGTAACTGGTAATCTCTCTGTCCTGCCCACTCCTTCCTTGTTCCCCCATTTACTTAATTGCTGTGATCTATGTTTAATTATCACTTGTGAGGGTGCTCTGTTGCACAACCCTATTTCCCCTGGTGTGTACTTATTAACGGCTTGTTTAATGAGAATGCAATTAAGGAGAGGGTGCACAGTCCCACTCAGAGGGAGAAAAAGGAAAGAAGCAGCAAGGAGACTGTGGAGAAGAAGAGAGGAAAGGGGAGAAGTGGAGGGAGTTTGAATCTGGAATCCTGGGTTTGAACCTGGAAAACACGCTTAATTCTCCTTCTGAACCTGCTGGAGGTGCAGGCCTGTGGGGGCACCTGGGAGAGAAGGCTGGAGTCCCAAAGCTCTTTTGACTGTCTCCCTTCTGGTGGGATCAGCATGAGAGGGAGACTGGGCACAGCAGACCATCTTGCCCTGCTGCCAGTCCTCAAGGAGGTATAGGAATCTTTGCATAAGCCAGGGGTGGGTCATGCCAGCACAACCTGCTCTCTGGCCTGTAAGAGGAGGGACAGGCATGCTGCTGGGACTTGTTTGCAAAGCTGGTTTTATTGAGCATCCCCTGCTGTCTCAGGGGCATGCTTTCATCCCAGCAAAGCTCCTGGGGGTGGGCAGGAAGCAGGTAGGTTGCCTAGGGAGAGGGAACTGAAATCTTTCCTTTGTCTCTGGGCCCAGGGGCCTTGCCTGGCCCAGCCCTGCCTCCCAAAGCCCCCAGGGCCTGCACCCCAGGAGGGGTCCTGTCCTGCTGGCCTCGGCCCACTTTCTGCACCCAGCTCTAACTTTGAACCTTTCTAACTCTCCCTGGGCCAGAGTGTATCAGCCTCCCTATCAAAGTCAGCCATGTGTCCACTCGCCGTGCCAGCAAGCCCTCAGAGCTACACTTAGAGTGGCTACCAGCCTGCCCCTCTTTCCTGGGGTGGTTGTGAGTGATCCCTGGATGTGGGAAAAGGTGGTGGAATGTTTCCTGCCTCCACATTTGCCTTGGGATAAATGGTAGCTGCCATAAGATTCCTGCTGGTGTGAATATTTAATAATGTGATTTGCATGTGCTGAATACTTTTCCACTTTAACAAAAGTGTTCCTGAGTCAGTCCTCAGACAAAACCCCAGATAGGATGGCAGGGGGCCGAGGACTTCAGAGAAGGCAAAGAAAATAGCTGCTCTGAGAGTGGCTAAGTGGATAGGGCCTTTTAGGGAGGAAAAGCAAGGTTTTGGGGTTCAGGATGGAATTCCACGGGATCATGACTGGGAAGAGTTGTTCCTCAAGTCCACAATGCCAGAAAGAGGCTCCCCACTCTCAAACACACACATGTGCACTTTAACATTCTAGAATTAAGTTCAGAAAAGAGCAAAGCAAGGCTTTCTTTACTCCAGGGAAACGGCCACATGGAAATAAGCCAAGAAGTGGTACAGGGTGAAAATACAGATCAATGTGGGAATGGCCTGGAGACATTCTTGGCTGACACTGGTTATTCAGGGAAGCTAGGGGTGCCCTGGCTACCTGTGATGAGGGATACCCTTGTCCCCTGCTCCCCTTTCAAATACCATCCTCCTCTATCTGCAGGGTGCCCACTCATGGAAGCCCCTCTTGTGTTTTATAATCTCCTGTTTTGGCTTCACACCAACCTTGAGAAGTAGGAAAGAGGCATCCCTGCCCTGGCTTGGGGATATGCACACCGGATGTGGCACCTCTGACTTTCTCAAGGTCAGCTGGCAGAGTGGGGCCTGCCTTGCGCATGCTCACCAGTCCTCTCCAGGGTTGGTCATCCTGAAGCAGCCCTCGGGGGGCCTTTGTGGACCAACACCTGCCCCTGGTTCCTCCCTCTCCCCCAGAGCAACCTCGTAGGAGACACTGAGTTCAGTGGGAGGCAGGCCCCTCAGCTTTCTCGTGCATGACCCTCCCAGACATAACTGGCTGGACTGCATGACTCCCAGCTGGGAGGGCTGTGCACTGAAGAAGCCAGGCTTGCTCCCCCTCTCTGATGCTTTCACTTGGACAGGGCTCTGGACTCTGTGAAACCATTTCTGTCGGTTTTCATTTTCCCCTTCCAGCTACTGAGGAAGTAGCAATGCTTCACTTGCAGAGTCCTGAGTGTATTGGAGTTAAGTCATCCACATAGACGCACACAAATCAGGCAGAAATGTGTACTGTGTCATGAGCCAGACCTTAAAGAAATAGTGTACTCCTCTCTTCTGGACCCGTCTTTTGCTCATTTTTGCTTCTATTTAAAGCAACCAATAAGATTTCCCTTTTTGCATGCATCTTTTGTGCTCTTGAATATCTCTTTCTGGCTGGGGTTGAGGTGGGGAGATTTGGGCACTGATTTGAGTTGCCCTATCTCCTCCGGGACCCTGATTCCTGGACCGGTATGCTGATGAGGAGCAGCCACACTCCTTGGTGCCCTGAGGGAGGCCATTAGCTATCAGGAAGCTGCGTTGTCTGACAGCTTCCCTGTCCACTGCTCTGCATTCACTTCCTGTTTGTGGGGGCTACGGAGGGTGGGAAGCAGAGTCGGTGTCTCCCACCAGAAGGTTCTAGTGCTGGCTGCAGACTGGAGAGTGGGATCTTGTGTCTGGCTTCTGTCCTTAGACCTCTGGGGGAGATGGGGCGGAGGAGGGCAGAGATAAACAGAAAGGCAGGAGTTCTATGGAATGCTAAGCCCTGATCAGTGTTTTCTTGGAGAGCACGGTTGGTCACAGAGTGGTGAAAGGGGGGCTAATATCTGAATGCTGCTTATGCCACTCACTGGGTGTGTGGCCATGAGCAAGGTAATCTCTTTAAGCCTGTTTCCTCATTTGTTTATTGAGAAGGAAAATGTAACTTATAGGATTATGATGAAGGTTAATAATAGTAACCTAAAGGATTATGATGAGACAGTGTATATAAAATACCTCTCCTATCCTATAGTAACTGCTCAGTCTCAAATTCACCATTTACTGTGTGGCCCTGGGCAAGTCAACTTAACCTGTCTGAGCCTCAATTTCATCATATATAAAATGGGAACATTATACATGCCTTTGAGCATTCTAATAAAAGTTGGAGTTAGTATCCACAAATCCTCTGGCACAGTGGTTCTCGGAGTGTGGTCCCTGCTCACAGCATCTCCTAGGAACTTTTTAGAAATGTAAAAGCTCAGGTTCCACTCCAGATCTTCTGGATCAGAACTCCAGGGGCTGGGTGGAGCCAGCTGTAGCTGTTCTGTAGGGGATTCTGATGACTCTCAAGTTTGAAAACCATAGCTCTAGAACAAATTCTGGCTGGCCATGAATCCTAGAAGCTGACCAAAAATGAAGGCTAATTGAAATAACTTCCCAGCACTAATCAGAGCCCTGGTGGGCAGATCCGGATCTCGCAGGCAAGTTACCTAACCTCTCCAGGCTCAGTTGTCTCACCTACAATGTGGACCTATAATAGTAGGTGACTCATAGGGCAGGTGAGGATGAAATGTGCCTGGCACATAGTAGATGCTCAGTTAATATCAGTTATTACTACTGTCACCGGCAGTGGCTGGATCACGATGGGATTACTGGACCACGGGGAGTGATTTTAGGGCTGGGGTCTATGAGCACTCCACTTTGTCATCAGAAGTTAAGGGCACAGGAAGAAGCTGAGCCGGCAGGGCTGCCAGCTCTCCTTGGAAATCCTTTTCTGTCATTTGAAAAGCATTGCTAAGACGCATTATCATCTGGTGGGGGCAAAACAAGAGGTTTATGATGCAGAACAGGGAATTAAGTTAGACAACACAGGGCCTTCCTGAGAGTGCGGGTGGAAGGTGCCAGTTTCCCCTAGGGACGAGGAGAGGCAGGCATCCACTTCCGGACACCCGCCCCCACCGACCTTGAGGCGAGTGGGGTTTCCTTGAGGCATCTGCAGGACATGGGGTGGGGAGGGGGCGGGGAACCAGACCCCCTTACAAGGACACGGAGCGGCAGTTTGGAGGCCGTGAGCGGAGCGGCCTTGTCCCAGCGGAGAGGGGTCGCATCGGAGTGCTGGGGAGGAGGTACGAAGCGTGAGAAAGAAGCCTAGGGGCGCTCGGGGACGCACCGGGACGAGGGGGCGGAGTGTGGCAGGGAGGCCGGGCTGCCGGGCTCAGGACGGGACCGCGTGTCCAGCGCCCTCCCCGTCCCGCCCCCGCGCGCGTGCACTTGGGCTGGCCGGGAATCCCTCCCCAGGGTGGCTTCTGCCTGTGACTTTCCCACCCTGGCTGCGCCCGCGCGCCCCCGCGGCTGCCCAGCTCCAAGACCCGCGTTGGTCCCCACCCGCGCCGTGTTCCTCCCCGCCCGGCCGTCTTCCTGCGGTTCCCAGGCTCCCGTTTGGCGGCCAGAGTGCGTCGGACTCGGCTGACCCAGCGAGGTCCAGCCCGAACGTGTCCTTCTGCCTCTCAGCCCCTGGGGGCCAGGGAGGAGCCTCCAGTACGGGGGAACGAGAGGCTGCTGGACGGCAGCCCGGGACTGCGGCGGCCGCGTTTCTCTTCCTCACCTTACCGGACCCGGCTCTTCCCCCGCCTCGACCGCCCCGCCAGCCCCGCCCGCCAGTCCTGAAAACCTGGCGGGAGGTGCGCACTGTCCTAGGGGAATTCCCCTGCAAACAGAAGGGAGCCCGCCCTGCGCGTCCTGGGGTGGGTGCGACAGGAGCGCTTCCAGGCACTGCGTCCCCAGGTGAGGGGCGGAGCGGGCGCGGTTCGTGGCAGCGGCCAGGCCTTCGTTTCCTTGGGTTGGGGTGACCCCTGGTGGTCATCCAGAGCGCCACAAGGGCTACTCCCTGATCCAGAATTCAGTCCTTTCCAGGGGAGAAATGGAGAATGATGGAGGGCAGCCCAGACGGTGTTAATTGGAGTAGAGAGCCATCCTCCCGAAGTTGGGACGGAGGGTGACAGAGACCTCCCTGCTGGCCAAGTCACTCCGCCCTGTCCGAGCATCCCCTTCCAGAGCTCCAGGCTGAGGTTTTGGTGGGGTTTTATTAAGGAGGCGGTGCTCCTTACACAGGCCTCTTCCTGCTCCCCGTAACCCTGTCGCTGGAGGTGTCTGTGGGAAAGGCCACCAACATCTACGCTGTCAACGGCACGGAGATCCTGCTGCCCTGCACCTTCTCCAGCTGCTTTGGCTTCGAGGACCTCCACTTCCGGTGGACCTACAACAGCAGTGACGCATTCAAGATTGTAAGTATTTGGAGGAAGGACAGTACAGCCCAGCCTCCCTTACCCATGCCTTCCCTCCCAGGCTCTGGTCACTTCTGGACTGAGACCCACTGCGATGGTCCCCAGAACCTTTTGCCACCCTTTCTCCCAGTATTCTTTTCAGAGCCTGCCAGGAAGAATGTAACTGGGAGAGATGCATAGATCGTGTTGCCAGCATTTGGGGACTGTTGGAATTCTTGGCTAGAGTCCTCCGTCTGGTCTTAAGAAATACCCGGAGCTTGGACTGCTTGTCTAAAAATCAATAGTTTAGTCTAACAAACAGGAGAGAGAAAGGCCTTGGAAAGCTTGGAGAGAGGGAATGAGAAGAGTCTAAATGAGGCTGGACTGGCAGGGAAAGGAGAGAGGAAGGGAGAGAGGAGGGAGAGCTGCAGGATCATTGGTGGGGCTGCGATGGGAGTGGGAGTGAACCAATCAACAGGTATTTATTGAGTACTCACTCTACAATCTAGTGGGGGATCCAACCTGAGACTTTCACAGGGAAGCCACAAGAGACCAACTCTGGTTATAATTAAATGCTGACCTCAGAGGGTGCTGACGGGCAGAGCTGTGGGATTGATCCAGGTCTTGATAGAGGGCCAGAATTCAGATGCGCATGGTGTCAGCAGAGGCTGGGTGGGAGGTGACAGAGGGAAATGAGTTCAGTGCTTGCAGGAGTCATTACATAAAAGGCTTTTATGAAGAGAGCGGTAAGAGCTGTGCTGCATTCCAGGGAGACCTTAATAAAAGGAAATGGGTTTAGCCTGAAACAAGCAAAATTCAGGTTAAACAGGCAGAGCTATTGACGCTGGAAGAGGAAACTGTGGGGGCAAGGAGCAGGGTGTGACTGCAGGCTCTTCCTGGTCCTGGACAGGGAAGGTACTTAAGGAGTGGGCTGGTGTGATGTCATGACCCTTGAGGACCCTGATTCTTTCTTGGCCACCTTCTCTCTCCAACGCCTTTCCTCCACCAGCTCATAGAGGGGACTGTGAAGAATGAGAAGTCTGACCCCAAGGTGACATTGAAAGATGATGACCGCATCACTCTGGTAGGCTCTACTAAGGAGAAGATGAACAACATTTCCATTGTGCTGAGGGACCTGGAGTTCAGCGACACGGGCAAATACACCTGCCATGTGAAGAACCCCAAGGAGAATAATCTCCAGCACCACGCCACCATCTTCCTCCAAGTCGTTGATAGACGTATGCAGTAGGGGCTGGTACAGGGCAGTGGAGTGGGAAGGACTTGGGGGGCACCCAACTCAGCATTACAGTGAAATGGCAAAATGGACTGTGTTGGTGTTTTCTTTTGCTTTACACTTTCCAGAGTTGCTGGAGTTACATCTAAAAGCTAGAAAAGCTCAGCTTGAACACTTAATTCTGCTACCAAATAGCTTATGAAATACTCTTAGCCTCTCTAAGCCTCGTTTTCCTCATCTGTAAAATGGGAATATGACTGCATTTTCCTGGAGTTGTGGTTAGAGAAGCTACATGTGAGTGTTTTGTGGCTAGTAAGGTTTTCTCCATATATACTGATTATTAATACCATTGGGTATTTCATTAGCAAAAATTGATTGAATGTCATGCATTGGACTAAAAAGTGCTGTGAGTGATACATCACATTCTTCCTTGAGGAATTCACAGTACAACGATAGAGTCGGGATTTTTGAAGAAAGTGAGAGAGGAGCCATGAGGGCGTCTTTGGGAAGACAGGGAGGGAGCAGTGAGTGCAAAGGCCTTGAGGCAGATGTGTGAAGAATCACAGCAGGCTAGTGCTGGAGCAGGGCAAGGAGTGAGAGATCAGTCAGGTGAAGCCAGATTGTGTAACCACCTTACTGGAAGGGTGAGTGAGGTGGGAGCCACTGGGAGCAGAGGAATTAAGGCCTGAACAGGTTCACTCAGGCCCCTATGCCAAGAATAGATGATAGAGGGAGGAGATCAGTTAGGAAGCTATTGCAGACATCCACGGAAGAGGTGGCTTGGGCCAGGGCCAGGGGGATTGTGAGCCATCAGATTCTGGAATTTTATAAAGTTAGAGCCGTCAGGATTCTCAGGTAGATTGGATAAAGGGTTTGAATAAAAGGCATTGAAGAAGACTCCAAGGATTGTGGTTATAGCGATTGGGAGGATTAAGTTGTTCTCAGTAAACAGAAAAATAATCAAACATATTGACTGGGAGCATCATCTATGCATGAATATTCAGAAGCAAACTCTGTTGATTGACCTTGTTATGTATTCAGCATTTCAAGGTGACTCCAAGATCGAACTGTTTTACACAGAAAGAACCACCCTGGAGGAAGCCTAGATTACACTCATTTATTAAATCATTTGGTTATCCAGTCACTCATTTATTTGGAGGAATTCAGCATGTTCCTCTCTATTTACAAGATCCGGTTCATTCCGGTTCGGTCCCGTCTGATCCGGTTCAGTCCGGTCTGATCCGGTTCGGTCCGGTTTGGTCTGGTCTGGTCTGGTCTGGTCCGGTTTGGTCCGCTTTGGTCCGGTCCGATCCGGTCTGATCTGGTTTGATCCGGTCCGGTCCGGTCCGGTTCGGTCCGGTCTGATTGGGTTTCGTCCGGTCTGATCCGGTTTGGTTTGGTCTGATCCGGTTCGGTCCAGTCTGATCTGGTCTGATCCAGATCCATCCGGTTTGATCCGATCTGATCCGGTCTGATCCGGTCTGGTCCAGTTTGATCCGGTCTGGTCCGATTTCGTCTTTTCTGGTCCGGTTTGGTCTAGTCTTATCTGGTCTCATCCGGTCTGGTGCGGTCTAGTCTGATATGGTCTAGTCTGGTCCGATTTTGTCTTTTCTGGTCCGGTTTGGTCTAGTTTTATCTGGCGTTATCTGGTCTGGTCCGGTCTCGTCTGATATGGTATAGTCTACTCTGGTCTGGTTTGGTCAAGTCTGATGTGGTCCGGTTTAGTCTGGTCTGGTCTGGTCTGGTTTGATCCGGTCTGATCTGGTTCAATCCGGTTTCATCCGGTTTGATCCGGTTTCATCCGGTTCAAACCGGTCTGATCTGGTTTGATCTGGTTCGATCCGGTTTGAGCCGGTTTCATCCAGTTCCATCCGGTCTGATCCGGCTTGATCCGGTCCGATCCGGTCTGACCCGGTTTGATCCGGTTCCATCCGGTCCGATCTGGTTCTATCCGGTTCTATCTGGTCTGATCTGGTTCCATCCGGTCTGATCACGTTCGATCCAGTTCCATCCGGTTTGATCCGGTTCCATCAGGTTCCGTCAGGGTTGATCCGGTCTGATCTGGTCTGATCCGGTTTTGATCCGGTCTGATCTGGTTTGATCCGGTTCCATCCGGTTTGATCCGGTTCCATCCGGTTCCATCCGGTCTGATCCGGTTTGATCCGGTTCCATCCGGTTTCATCCGGTCTGATCCGCTTCCATCCGGTTCCATCCGGTTTCATCCGGTTCGAACCGGTTTGAACTGGTTCCATCCGGTTTTATCCGGTCCCATCCGGTTTGATCTGGTCTGATCCGGTCTGAACTGGTTTGAGCCAGTTCGATCCAGTATTATCCGGTCCCATCCGGTTTGATCCGGTTCTATCCGGTTGACCCAGGTTGAAAAGGTCTGATCCGGTTTGAACCGGTTTGAACCGGTTCGATCCGGCTTGATCTGGTCCCATCCGGTTTGAACCGGTTTGTACTGGTTCCATCCGGTTTGATCCGGTCCCATCCGGTTCCATCCGGTTTGATCCGGTCCCATCCGGTTCCATCCGGTTCCATCCGGTTTGAACCGGTTTGTACCGGTTCCATCCGGTTTGATCCAGTCCCATTTGGTTCCATCCGGTTCCATCTGGTTTGATCCAGTCCCATCCGGTTTGTACCGGTTCCATCTGGTTTGATCCGGTTTGATCCGGTCCCATCCGGTTTGATCCGGTCCCATCCGGTGTGATCTGGTTCCATCCGGTTTGATCCGGTCCCATCCGGTTTGTACTGGTTCCATCCGGTTCGATCCGGTTCCATCCTGTTTGAACCGGTCTGATCCTGATTGAACCGGTTTGAACCGGTTTGATCTGGCTTCATCCGGTTTGAACCGGTTTGATCTGGTTCCATCCGGTTTGATCCGGTCCCATCCGGTTTGTACCAGTTCCATCCGTTTTGATCCTGTTCCATCCGGTTTGATCCGGTCCCAACCTGTTTGATCCGGTTTGAACCGGTCTGAAGCGGTTCGAGCCGGACTGTACCGGTTCCATCCGGTTTGATCCGGTCCCATCCTGTTTAATCTGGTTTGAACTGGATGGGACTGGTTCAAGCCGGTTTGTACCGGTTCCATCCGGTTCGATGTGGTCACATCCGGTTTGATCCGGTTCCATCCGGGTTGAACTGGTTTGATCCGGTCCCATCTGGTTTGATCCTGTTCCATCCGGTTTGAGCCGGTTTGATCCGGTTTGAGCCAGTTCCATCCGGTTTGAACCGGTTTGTTCTGCTTTGAACCAGTTCTATCAGGTTTGAACCGGTTCGATCCGGTTCCATCCGGTTTAATCCGGTTCCATCCGGTCTGATCCGGTCTGAACTGGTTTGAGCCAGTTCTATCCGGTTTGAACCGGCTCCATCCGGTTTGATCCGGTCTGACCCGGTTCAAACCGATTTGAGCCAGTTCTAACCGGTTTGATCCAGTTTGTACCGTTTCCATATGGTTTGATCCGGTACCATCCGGTTTGATCCGGTCTGATCCGGTCCGAACCGGTTTGATCCGGTTCCATCCGGTTTCATCCAGTCTTGAGCCAGTCTGATCCGGTCCGAACCGGTTTGATCCGGTTTGATCCGGTTCCATCTGGTTTCATCCGGTCTGATCCGGTCCGAACTGGTTTGAGCCAGTTCTATCCGGTTTGAACCAGTTCCATCCGGTTTGAACCGGTTTGATCCGGTCTGATCCGGTCCGAACTGGTTTGAGTCACTTCTATCCGGTTTGAACCAATTCCATCCAGTTTGAACCGGTTTGATCCGATTTGAACCGGTTCCATCCGGTTTGATCCGGTCTGATCCGGTCCGACTGGTTTGAGTCAGTTCTATCCGGTTTGAACCGGTTCCATCCGGTTTGATCCGGTTCCATCCCGTTTGATCCGGTCTGATCCGGTCCGAACTGGTTTGAGCCAGTTCTATCCGGTTTGAACTGGTTTGATCCGGTTTAAACCGGCTCCATCCGGTTTGATCCGGTCTGATCCGGTCCAAACTGGTTTGAGCCAGTTCCAACCGGTTTGATCCGGTTTGAACCAGTTCCATCCGGTTTGAACCGGTTCGATCCGGTTTGAACCGGTTCCATCCGGTTGGAACCGGTTCGATCCGGTTTGAACCGGTTCCATCCGGTTCAAACCGGGTTGATCCCGTATGAACCGGTTCCATCCGGTTTGATCGGGTTCCATCCAGTTGGATCCGGTTCCATCCGGTTTGATCCGGTCTGATCCGGTTTGAGCCAGTTCTCTCCGGTTTGAACCGGTTCCAGCCGGTTTGATCCGGTCTGATCCAGTTCCATCCGGTTTGATCCGGTTCCATCTGGTTTGAGCCGGTCTGCTGCGGTCCGAACTGGTTTGATCCGGTTTGATCCGGTTCCATCCGGTTTGATCCGGTCTGATCCGGTCCAAACCGGTTTGAGCATGTTCTAACCAGTTTGATCCAGTTCGAACCAGTTCCATCCGGTTTGAACCGGTTCGATCCGGTTTGAACCGGTTTGATCCGGTTTCAACCGGTTTGAGCCGGTTCCATCCGGTTTGATCCGGTCCGATCCGGTTCGAACCGGTTAGAACTGGCTCAAACCGGTTCCATCTGGTTTGAACCGGTTCCATCCGGTTTGATCCGGTTCCATCTGGTTTGATCTGGTCTGATCCGGTCCGACCCGGTTCGATCCGGTTTGTACCGGTTCCATCCGGTTTGAACCAGTTTGATACGGTATGAACCGGTTCCATCCGGTTTGATCGGGTTCCATCCGGTTTGATCCAGTCTGATCCGGTTGAATCCGGTTTAATCCGGTTTGATCCGGTTTGATCCGGTTTGATCCGGTCCGATCCAGTTTGAACCGGTTGCATCCGGTTTGATCCGGTTCCATCCGGTTTGATCCGGTCTGATCTGGTTTGAGCCAGTTCTACCCGGTTTGATCCGGTTTGATCTGGTCTGATCCGGTGTGATCCAGTTCCAGCTGGTTTGATCTGGTCTGATCCGGTTCCATCCGGTTTGATCCGGTTCCATGCG